CCAGGAGCGCCCAAGAGCGCTCCAAGAGCGTCCCATCCAAGATGGCTCCAAGAACGCCCCTAAAGCTCCCAAGGGCGCTCAAAGAGGGCCCCCAGATGCGACCAGACGGCCCAGAGAGGCGAAGAGGCTCCCAACAGACCCCTAAGAGGCCTCAAGAGGATCCCCGAGGCACCCAAGACGCCCAAAGATGGCCCCAGGCCTGCCAAGATGCCCCCCCCCCAGACGACACAAGAAGCCTCTAATAAGCTTCCAAGCGTTTAGGGTTTAGGGTCCACTAGCCCAAACTTGCAGCCCACTTGACCGTGTCCCACCCACCCATGACCCAAGACATATTGATCTCGATGCGGTATCAACACGCGACTCGCAAAACGACGACGAGGAGGACACCGATGACGACGACGTTGATATTATTTTCAAAACGACGACGACGCGGCCGCGCAAAGACGGCGGGGCGGCCCCTGGGGAAGGGCACGGGGGCGGCTCTCAACCCGAAAGGGTCGAGGTCGCGCCCGTACCTTTCGCGAAGGACAGTACTGACGCCATGCCTGGCATACCGAGGCCATGAACGTCTGCCACGAGTCTGGGCGAGGGGAGTACCCTGCACTTTCGCAGGCTCTCCCAGAACGCCACTCCCGGTACTCCGGGAGTTTGCAGATCCTCCCAGAACGCCATTCCTGGCGCTCCGAAGGCAAGGATTTGCATGAGGGGTACGTCCTGGGATTTGCGGATCGGGCCAGAACGCCATTCCTGGCGCTCCGAGGCCAAGGATCTGCGTGAGGGGCGCACCCTGGGATTTGCAGATCCTCCCAGAACGCCATTCCTGGCGCTCCGAGGGCAAGGATCTGCGTGAGGGGTGCGCCAAAATGGGGGGGGCGGCCGAAGGGGGGACTTTAGGGCGGCGGAAGGGATTTTAGGATTCAAATCTTTATAGGCTCTTAGTTTAAACCACTGAGACAGCTGAATGCAGACCAAGCGGAGCAGGAGGTGCGAAGAAGCACCAAAAAGTCGAGAAGCACGAGAGGGCACAAAGTAAAAACTGCAGGCGTCAACAGGGTCTTCCCTTCCCACCGCTTCCCAACATCATCCCATCTACCACTGATCCTTCCCATGGCAAGGGCCCTCATCGAGGGCAGTTCGTGCCCTCCCTGAGGGCAGCGAAGCAACGAAGCTAAGCAGTGTATGCATTGTAAGGCTGGCACAGTTTGCACAGGCTGGCATGTTTGGCACAAATGTGTGGCGCAACTGTACTACTGGATCGATGCTAAACTAGTACGCTACTGCTTATGTGCAGGCAGGCTGGCATGGCAAACTCAAGAATCATAGTATATCCTTCCCGCCCTCTCCGATGAACTGATGATGTTCCACCTCCTACCTATCCGACCCCGCACGTGGCCTGGGCCCTCACCGAGGGTGGTTCTCAGTTCTCGCCCTCACCGAGGGTAGCTGGGAGTCCAACATTCGCGGCCTAAAACTGCGAGGTCGCCATAGATCTTCAACATCAATCCTCAAACTCATACGCTATTATATGCAAGTGCCCTCACCGAGGGTTAAAGTAGCTATGGCAAAAAGGAACGGCCTCCCATACATAGTCTGTCTTGGTGGCCACGTGCCTCACGGGCCCGCCACCACGGCCAGGGAAATAGAGGCGGAGCAGACCGAGAAGCGGGGCTACATTCAGCCGCTGTTCGTCTCGGGCGCCGCTGCGCTCGAGCATACACCGCGACCTCCAGGTGATCGGTCCACCGCAGGTTGCAGAGGAAGCACCGTGCTTTCGCAAGGAATGCCTTCTGCTCCACCACTACCGGACCCAGTGAGTGGGTTGAGAGCTCCAAGAGGCCAGCAATTCGAAAAATTGTATTGGACGGAAGTCTTGGAGGAGGGAATCTTATGGTCCGTCTCATTTTGAGCCTCCTGTGGGCCAACGTGGCCACAGCTGGAAACTTCTCACCCTGCTTCTGCTCCTCATCAGACTCGTCCTACTCCTGCTTCTGAGGTCCCTTCTCCTGCTTCTACTCCTCCTCCTCCTCGTTCCTTTCTCCCATACTCCTTCTGCCTCCGCTCCTCCTCCTCCTCCTCCTCCGCCTCCTCCTCCCCCTCCTCCTCCTCCTCCTCGGCCTCCTCCTTCCTGCTCAATCATCCTTCTCTCCCTCCTTCTCCTCCTATTCCTTCTCCCGCCCGCATGCTTCCTCCTCCTCTTCCTCCACCTTCTCCTCCTTCTGTTCTCCCCCCCTTCATCATTTCCTTCTCCGACCTTCAGCTCATCCCCCTTGTCCTCCCCCGTCCTCCGTCCTCCGTCATCGTTCCTCCGACTCCCCCTCTCCTTCTCCTCCTCCATATGTTCCTCCGACCTGCTTCCCCCTCCACGTTCTTCTCCTCATCCTCCGCCTTCTCCTCCTCCTCCTCCTCGTCCTCCTCCCCTCGCGCGCGCCGGAGGAAGAGTATAACAGTAGAACGAGAAGGACGAGGACGAAGAGGGAGGAGGAGTAGGAGGTAGGGGCCAGGAGGGACGACGGCGGCAACGTCGACGACGACACCGATGACGACGGCGACGACGACGACGACGACGACCACGACGACCACGACGACCACGACGATGACGACGACGAAGACGACGACGACGACGACGACGACGACGACGACGACGGCGACGGCGACGGCGACGGCGACGGCGACGGCGACGGCGACTGCGACGGCGACGGCGACGGCGACGGCAACGGCGACGGCGACGGCACCGGCGCCGACGACGATCCCAGGAGCCGAGGGGCTGGTGCAGCTGCCCAGGTGGGCCTCCCAGGGCCACCACGCCCTGGACGACACCCGCGCCCGCACGATCGAGGAGTCGCCAAGGTGCTCCGGCACGGACACCACCCACTGCCCCCGGTCCTCGGGTGCGCCGAAGAGGGTGGCCGCGAAGTGATTAAGGGTAAGGTGGACTGATCTGAAGTACGTGCGCGGACGAGGGGGTGCCGTGTTGGGAAGAAGAGGGGGGGCCATTCAATCTGGGGATAGCATTGCCCCCCCCCCCGCCCCCGATCCTTTCTGGGACGCCTGGGTGGCCGACTCAGGCCAGAGCCCCTGGATCCACAACAATGCTGCTGTCTCGCTCTTATTCCGCCGCCTGTCGCCGAGCATCCTTCTGCTTCTGGCGGCGCACCCGCCGTCGATTATGCCTCCGCCAGCTTCCGCCGAGGGCGAGGATGAGCCGAAGGTGGGGCCCTTGCTTGAGGCCCCCAAGAGGCCCCCACGACGGCCCCCACCCAACGAGATTCCAACAAACATCCATTAAGTTTACAACCCGCAACCCAGGCACGGTGGCGGGACTTGCCGTAGGCAGCTGGATACTTCCGCCAGTTTCCGCCGAAAGTGAGGATGAGCCGAAGGCGAAGCCCTTTCTGGATCGCCCTGGGTGCGGCCTGTGCACACGGAGGCCACCGCATCGCCGATGCATCGACGATGCGCCGGCGGCCTCGGGATCCGAAGATTGACAAGACACCATTTGGCAAACCACCATTTAGAGAAAGCTGCCGCGGGCACTCCTCGTGCAGACGGCACCGCATTCCGAGTGGACCCCAGCGGGGTAGCTAACCGACGTCCAAAAACCACCGAATCAATCCGGGGAAACGCACGTCGATTAGCGAGACCAATTAGGAAATTCACCCGCAAGCTAATATGCCAATGTCGAGTGAACCAGTGCAAACTTTCTCGGTCGACTTGTCTGGATAGGCGTTCTCTCCATGCCCGAGGGATGGAGAGCATCGTGCTCCAGCCCAGCTTGGGCAGCGTGGATCCTCGGCGTACCAGACGTACAGCTGGCCCACGTAACCATCCTTAGACGTCTCCAAACATAGAGCCCCGCCGACAACCATCGTAACTACGTAATGATTCCACTGATGGGTGTACTATGAGATGAAAGCAAGGTGTATCGATGGTGTTTGGATAGTCGGAGGTTGGACTGCTGAACTATCATCACCTTTCATCAGCGCTCCATAACGGTCAGATACACATGTTGATCGACCTGCCCTGTAGAATATGGTGATCTATGTTTGGCAGCAGCAAGAGCAGGCGAATGAGGCGGCGGAGCAGCAGGGGAACGCAGATAGAGGGAAGATGACGGGTGAATGGAGGAGTGGTGCAGGGAGCACGTCGGTCAGAATCCATGGGGAGGAGTGAGGCGAGAAGGTGGGGTAACTGTCCTGACGAAGGAGTCGAACCCTATGCAGCTGCGTGTAGTGCGGGGCGCAGCCCTCATGTACGGCGCGCTGCGGAAAAGGCGCGCAAAAGCATGCTGAACGGGACACGATCGGCGTGGTGGGTGTGCCCAATTGGGCGGATATCCTACTACGCCAACGCATCCAATGAGGCCGTAGACGGAGCCCACCTGGGCACGCACGATCCGCATGAGGAGGGTCGGAGGTTTGATGAGGGGTGAGGGGTTGAAGGGAGGAGAAGGAAAAGCAGGCTAGATGAGAAGGAACAGGGATGAGGATGGTTGGGATGGAGGGTTGAGGGGGAGAGCTTGGGATGGGATGAAAGCTTCCTCGTCTTCCTCCTCCTCCTCCTCCTGCTCCTGCTCCTCCTCCCCCCCTTCCCGATCTCAGCGAGACCAGCTTCGCAAGGGAGTTGGACACGACACCGAGGACACGGACAACAGCTATGTCGAAGCCTGCTTGCATTTCGCCTTCTTCAACCTGCGCTACCATCAGCTCACGCCTGCCAACTGGCACACCAGTGAATGTTATCCCGCAAAGAAGAACGAAGAGCACGGGCCGAGGGGATGACGCTTGCTACACATCTTACAAGTCCTGGGAAAACGGGTTCTGTGCCACCTGCATCTCGGCTCGACGGCCTGAACCTCTTCCTCCTTAACACCACGGATATGCGCGGGGAAGGCGGAGAGAGACTGCCATCCTCGCATCCATGGCGACGGCATACCGTCTGAGGCAGGCGCAATGCAGCTACATCGACAACTTCAAGGACATGACCAACGCTTTCCCGTCCGTGGCATGGACGTGCATGGAGCAGGCGGCTCAAGACCTGATGCGGCCACGGGACCTCCGACTGGCGCTACAACGCATACGACGTGCACATATACAGCTTCCAGCAGCCGAGGGTACGCTCCGCTTTCGTCCGACGGAGGGAGGCATCATGGGGGGCCCGTTCATGGTACACTTTCTTCCTCGTGCCTTTGCCTACGCCATTGAGCCATGGACGCAACACTGGAGAAAACAAGATGATGCTGACAGAATGCTGGTGGTGAAGTGCTCCATTACTTACACGCAATTGGATCGCAGCTTGCACCTATACGCGGACGGCATCAACAAGAAGGTACTTCAGCACCCACATGTACCCAAGGAGTTGAACTGGTTACTTAGTATTGACAGGCTCAGGCACAAGCTACAGGACTGTGATGAACTACTGGGTACACAGCTACGACACATTGTTCTGGCGCAGAACAAGAAGAAGCATATCAACATCATCGCGACCCACGGTTCAGTTAGTGCGATAGCGAGGCGGCAACTACGACAACGAGAACAACGTGAATTGTGGCCAGGACAGCTGGTGGATCAGGCTCGCTACGTGGGACCCACTGTTACCAGCACGCAAGGTTTCGGCATCGAATTGGCACAGGGGATACTGGCCGCGAAGGCGGCGTGCTTCTCAATGGGTTCATTGTGCAATGCTGCCCGCGTCCCGTGGAGGTGGAGGCGCACAGTGCTGCTGGGGCGGATGGTGAACGCAGCGCCGTCTGCTGTGGAAGCATTCCTACCGACCCAACGGCAGTACGACACCCTCGACAATGCCATTGCGTCTCTGGCGAGGATTGCGATGAAGGGTCGAGCATGCACTCGCAACGAAGACGGCACGACCAGGTCACTGACGAATCACGAGGTCCTGGCGCACTGGCGGATCGCGCGCTGCAGTGCTGAGCTCAGAGTGAGACGCTTGAGGTGGCTGCAGCAGGCGGCGGATGACCGCAACAATCATGTGCAGCTCTTTGCCTCCCTCTGCAGCTCGATCTGCGGGCAGAGGCATAACACTGCCGCATACGACGACAGTCTCAACGCCTGCGCCAACCCGTGGGCCAAACGAGCCCAGCTCGACCTGGATTTCCTGATTGAGCATTCGGAGGAGGCACAGGCACTCTTTGAAGAAGCGGGCCCGAACATTGTGGCCTGGTGAAAGGACCCGATCTGGAGGGCAGAATTTGCAAACATCGACGTCAGTATTCTCAGGTCCAGGGAGTTCAAAATCAATGTGGCGCTCCCCCTCTACAAGCCCCACGAGCCCCTGAAGGCCCTGGAGGAGGAGGAGGGGGACATCCAGGAGGCGGTGGAGGTCTACAAGTGCGAGGTGGAGGTGGACGGGATCAGGTGTGGACGGGTATTTCATAGTAAACGAGCACTACGCACACACGTTCGGCACGTACATCACACCATCAACATGTGTTCGCTGCTCACTCCGACCAACCAGTGTATCGCGTGTGAGACGGTGTTCGCGTCGGTGGTCACGGCTCGTCGGCACCTGGTCATATCGATCCAGCGGGGCTACTGCGTTGTTGACATGGCTCGGTCGCTCACCCTCGCCGAAGACCCCAGGCCCCTAGAGTGCCCAGGGTGCGCCTACGTCGCAGGCTCTTGGCTAGAGCTCAGACAGCACCTGGCTCGACACGCTCCATTTCTTCCTGACCAGAGAGCCGCAGCCACTGTGAGCAAGAACACCCTCTATGGCGGCGGCAAGCTCAAGCTCGGGCAGCGTGCCGCAGTGGATGCCCGACGCGGGCATGGGCTCGGACGTCGGATGGGGCCTCAAGAAGACCAACACGAGAGGGGCCGACCTCGGCTCCGCAGCAGAGGACGAGCAGCACACGGTGGCGAAGCACAAGAAGGGCGAGGAGGTGCTCGCAGACGCGACGTCGGCTGCGGGCAAAGGCGCCAGCAAGGCGCAGGTGGTGCAGCAGCTCGTCGCCATTCTGGGCAAGCTCGTGCTGTCGCTCGCGGGAGAGCTGCGCTCGGTCATCAGCGTGGTGTTCGTCACGGCGCTGGTGCCGGTGAGCTTGCCGTTCATCACGGCGGCGATTCAGGCGAGCAAGGACTACCACGAGGAGGCGATGCAGCTCAGGGAGGCGCACAAGACGGACGAGAACATCGACACTGCGCGGCTGGGCTCGCCGTATCTTCACGTGTGGAAGGATTTCGTGCGGCCACTTCTCGCGAGTACAGAGGAAGGCCAGGCCAGGGACACGCTCTCAAAGTACTGGAAGGATCACGTGATGCAGTACGATCTCAAGGACACGGACCTGGACATCAATCAAGTACTTCAGAGTCAGGGTCCCACAGGGGAAAGAGATCCAGAAGCGCTCGAAGAGGATGGAGAACAAAGTCAGGCTCTAGTGGGCCCTCACCACAACGCAGATCGCCACGGAGCTGAACCCCATCCTCCGCGCGGAGATCGTCCGCCACGGAGGGGAGATCACGATCGGAGCGCCGCCGAGGGGTGTCTTGGAGAGGGACGCGCGTGCGCTCTTGAACAAGCTCGAGCACAGCTCGACGAAGTAGGTAGAAGGCGCATGCAGCAGCTTTTGTCCAGCGACAGGCTCGGGCAACTAATTGCGCAGGGGGTCGTCAGCAGGGAGGCTATGTTTTCATCCCTTACCTCTCCTCTCCTCTTGAGCTTTTCCCCCTCCGACTCCCAGGGCCGAAACACTCCTGTTGTCAAAATTCAGCAGCGCCCAATAGGGCGCGGGATGGGTAGAGGGAAATCCCGTCCCCCTTGAGTGTGCTGGTGTTGGCTCTGCGCCGTGTGACTTTCGGGGTGGGATGCCGTTGGGAGTCCATCTGCTAGGTGACGCGTGAGCGGAACCGTACCCAGTATGGGTAGGTCAGTGTGGGCTGCCACCCCTGCGCCCTGTGCTCGTTCCTCTTGGGTTGCAGGGGGGCCAGTGTGTCTCCCACCAGTGCCAGTGAGATGAGCAGTTGCAGCCCGAACCTCGGAATGCCGCCGAGCGAAGCCAATCGGAGAGTAGACCACCCATTCTCTCGTCGCCACGGGATGTCTAAGTCTAAGTCTCTTCCCGATCTCTCGTCCACCTCATTCCCTCCCTCCCTCCCTCCCTCCTCCCTCTTCCTCCCATCCTCCAGACCCCCCAGACCCCGCAAATCTGACGTTGAGAGAAAATAAGCCGCATAAACAAAAACTTTCGAAACTCCGTATGGATTTCTTGGATTCGCGCTGAACCCCCCTCGCGCACAAGTGGCGGCGCCAGAGGCGCCGACAAGGGGGTCCGTGCGCCGATCCGAGAAATCCGCGCGGAACTCCGACGTTTTATGTTTATGCAATGTCGCTGTCCTCCAGCCCTCTTGACCCTCCGGACCCTGCAAGAGCCCGCCAGACCCTCCTGCCCCCCCCACACCCCGGTTCCGCAAACCCGCCGCGGCCGTCCTCCCCCAGGTCGTGGCCCGCCGAGCCGTCCTGCGCGTAGAACACGCGGCCGTTCAGCATCCCAGCCGGCCGGTAGGCGCCCCGCAGGCCCCGGGGCAGCGGCTCCTCCGACACGCTGCACAGCCTCACCGCCGGGCTCCCGGGGCGCACCCGCGCCCCGGGCGCGCCGACCCACTCGCCGTCGACGAGGAGGCCGTGGGTCGGCCGCGCCGGCCGCTGCCAGCCGTGGTCCTCTGGGGGCGGGCCCCGGCGTCTCGCCCCCGCCCTCTCGAGAGGGGCAGGGCAGGGCAGGGGACTGCGTCGGGCTACGGGTCAAAGTTGCAGGTCTTGCGTCGGCACCTGCACACATCGAGTCACAACGACCTGCAGTTCGCGCGCACACATGCGACGATGACTGGCGGCCCCCCCTTGTCGAAGGAGCCAGAGGGGGAGCAGGAGGAGGAGGAGGAATTCAGCTCAGCCAAGGCTTTCCAATTGGCCAAGACAGCCAGCAGGCGGGAGCAGCTACGTCCGCACCCTTCCTCACCCTCCACCACCTTCTTTTCCTCCTCCTCATCCTCCTCTCACGCTGCCCCCCTCCATCCCCCCACCTCATCTTCCCCTCCGCTCACTCCTACTCCTCCTCCTGGATGGACGTCGAGAGGTTTTCAAAATGTGGTTCTTGCCTTAGCGCCGCGCGCATTCGCTTGTAACATGTGCAAGAGTTTCACGAATTGAGGGCGGGTGGCATTCAAAATGTGGCGATCGCTTTAGCGCCGCGCACATTGGTTTTGAACATGTGCAAGAGCTTCACATATTGAAGACCGGTCGTGTTCAAAATGTGACTCTCGCATTAGCGCCGTGCACATTCGTTCCAAAAACTTGTCTGAGTTTCACGGATTGAGGGCGGGAGGTGATCAGCATGTGGCTCTCGCATTAGCGACGCGCACTTTCGTTCAACACAATTGCAAGAGGTTTGCTGATTGAGGGCAGTTTCTTTTCAACATGTGGCTCTCGCCTTAGCGACGCGCGCATTCGTCTTAAGAAAGTGTAAGGGTTTCACGGTTCTCATGGCCAACATTCCCAAACTGGTGTTTTGGAGCGATTCAGGACTGTCAGGGCGCAACAGTGACATTGATTCACGGAGTTGAATTTCCAAACAATGTGTTCTGGCACGATGTAAGATCGTCGAGACGCAACAGTCAGGTTGACTCGTGGTGAAGTCCTGAGAATGTTGTTCTGGCACGCGTCAAGATTCCTCGATGGAAATGAACCATCGTAGGGGCCTATGGGGAGGGAGCTGGGAGGGAGGGTGTATTCCGACATCATTGATGAGTCTTGGGTTTATACTGGTCCTCCTCGACCTCCTCCTCCCCCTCCTCCCCCTCCTCCTCCTCTCCCTCCTCTTCCTCCTCCTCCTCCTCTTCATCCTCCTCCTCCTCCTCTTCCTCCTCCTCCTCTTCCTCCTCCTGCCTCCTGGTCTCCTCAGCCTCCTCCTCCTCCTGACCAATACGGCGACCGCACGAACGAGGCAGCGATTCGCATGCCAGGCCCTGCGGAGCTTGTGACCGTCGTGGACACCAAAGGTGATTCCTCGGAACCCGAGGTGGTGCACGCGCAGCCCGTGCTGGACCACGTGCGCGAGCGCGTCGAGGTAGTGTGTCTCGGGGATGTTGCGCAGAAGCGTCACGACTTCAGGACGGCACGGGCGGCGATGATGTCCAGGATCCTGGCTCGGCAATTGGTGCCGCGTCTGGGGCCGAGGCCGACGTCGATGTCCGCGCGGGGGCGGCCTGGATGGAGGTGGTCACCGCGATCCGCGCACGTGCGGGGCAGCTGGGCTTCTCCTGGAGGGGCGCCGTGTGGCACCGCGGCAGACTCGCGCGGACCAGGCTGCGGCCTTCACACGTCGTCCCCTCCCGTGCCGCTGCCCGCCACGTGCCCGGAGATGCAGCTGGTGCACGCCGTGCGGCGGCCCAGCCATGGGCAGGCCCGGGGTGGTGCGCTGGCCGCCGTCGCACCTGACGACCCAGGCATGATTGTCCGTCGCGGCGCGGCAGAAAAGCGATCCGCTCGCGCGTCCAAGCAACCTGGGCTACGGCGTTGCGAGTTGTCCCGCACGCAAGGGGACCAGGGGAGGGTCCCGCATGAAAGAAGACCCAAGCATGCGATATCCAAATTTGTTCCATGCGCGGTCTCCGGAAATCCCGACCCCTTCCCCGGGGCCGGCTTTGCATCCCCAATCGATGTTGATGGCCCCGGGGCCCAGCGAGGCCCCCAGTGGCCGAAAACGTGCCAAAACCTCCCGTCGTGTTCTGTTTGGGAGAGAAGGAAGAGGTCTGGCCGCTCGTGGGGAGAGCTGGCTCGTCCTGTCTGCGCGCAGCGAGCTGCCACTGATCACACCGGCGGGCGGCTCCGGAATGGTTGTGCTCCGGCACGCCAGCGGCTGGAGGGGCCGCGCGCGTCGGTCGCATCGTGCGGTCGCCCCGCCCAGTGTCGTTCCTCGGGCACCGCGCCCTCATGCGTTGTCCCACTATCCGCAACCTGCCCCACCTGCTCCACCTGATCCTGATCCTGCTCCTGCTCCTCCTCATGCTGCTCCTCCTCCTCCTCCTCCTCCTCCTCCGCCGCCTCCGCCGCCGCCTCCTCCTCCTCCTGCTCTTCCTCCTGCTCCACCTGCTCCTGCTCCTGCTCCTGCTCCTGCTCCACCTCTCTACGCCACCTCGTCCCCCTCCTCCCGCTCCTCCTCCCCGTCCTCTTCTCTCCCCTCCCTGCCTCTCCCGCCCCCTCCTCGCGCGTTGCCTGGCGCATCAAGTTCATGTTTCGCCATGTATCGCCGCCAAGACCGCCTGACCTGCCAACTGAGAGTAGGGATCGTTAGCTCGGCACGATCTCTTGAGATTCGGCCTGCACTGTTGAGGCCGCGTAACTGCTGGTAATGCTACGTGGCAGCAGCGGGAGCAAAACACACACGTGAGATTGGATGTCGGACACCGAGACAAGAGCGATGGCACAATGGGAAAGGCGGAATTTCTCCCGCCCCGTGCTCCTCCCCCCCTCCTCATCCTCACCCCCCTTCTCCAGCTCCTCTTCCCCTCAATCTGTCTCCCCCTCCCATCCTCCTCCCCCCCTGGGGGCCTTCCCCTTCTCATCCTCCTCCCCGTCCCCTCCCCTCCTCATCCTCCCTCCCCCTCCCGTCCTCCTCCCCCCCAGGAGGCCTCCCCCTTCTCATCCTCCTCCCCGTCCCCTCCCCCTCCTCATTCTCCCTCCCCCGCCCAGTCCGCAGGGCCACCTCCTTAGAGGAACGAAGAATGACACAAACATACAAACTCGGAGGTCCGCGCGGATTCCTCGGATCGGCGCTGGACCTCCCTCCCTGGCGCGCGGAGCGCGCCAGGGGCGGCACCGGAGGCGCCGCCAGGGGGTCCAGCGCCGATCCGAGACACCCGCGCGGACCTCCGAGTTTTTATGTTTGCGTCACTCCTCGTTCCTCCACCCCAGTTCCTCCTCCCCCTCATCCACCCTCCCTGAGGGGCAACGATAGCGGGGGAAAGGAATAGGGGGGTAAAGATCGACCTGGAATCGGCGATACATCGCCGATAGATCGGCGATGGGCCTCCGATCGTGAATCCGCACCTTCCTGGGCAGGATGGGGCTATCGGGCCCCTATCGGCGATCAATGGGCGATTGGGGTTCGATGCACCCCCCCCTATGCAGATCCCCCCCAGGAGGAGGAGGAGGAGGAGGAGGAGGAGGAGGAGGAGGAGGAGGAGGAGGAAGGAGGACGGAGGACGGAGGACGGAGGAGGACGGAGGACGGAGGAGGAGGAGGAGGAGGACGGAGGACGGAGGAGGAGGAGGAGGAGGCGGAGGAGGAGGATGTGGAGGAGGAGGAGGATGTGGAGGAGGAGGAGGAGGCGGAGGGGGAGGAGGAGGAGTGAGGAGCAGGAGTCTATATGTCTCCCCTGACATCCCCCTCCTCGCCCCCGCCGCCGTCCCCCCTCCGACGGCAGCGAGGCCGTCCTCCGTCTGCCAGGGCCACAGCGCGGGCCCCGGGGCGGGCACGGAGCGCAGCAGCACCTCCTCGAGGGGGGTCGCGGGCGGCAGCGAGGCGTGGAGCCGCTGCAGGCGGGCCGCGGCTGTGACCGGCGGCGTCGTCGACGTCGTCGTAATAATAATAATCATAATAATAATAATAATAATTATTATTATTATTATTATTATTCACTGCGTGGGGATCCCCATATGTGCATCTCCTTGCTGGCGCTCCCTTGGTGGTGGGACTCGGTGAGGACGAATCTGGATTTAAGTGTGACTGAGCTGCCTCTCTCTCTGCTCTCTCTGCTCTCTCTGTCTCTCTCTCTCTCTCTGCCCTCTCTCTGTCTCTGCCTCTCTTTCCCTGCCTCTCTCTCTCTCTCTGCCTCTCTCTCTGCCTCTGTCTCTCTGCCTCTCTCTCTCTCTGCCTCTCTCTCTGTGCCTCTCTCTCTCTGCCTCTATCTCTGCTCTCTCTCTCTCTCTCTCTCCTCTCTCTCTTCTCTCTATTCTCTCTCTGCTCTCTCCTCTCTCTCTCACTCTCCCTCTCTCTCTCTCTCGCTCTCTCTCTCTCTTCTCTTCTCTTCTCTTCTCTTCTCTCTCTCTCTATATATCTCTCTCTCTCTTTCTCTCTCTATCTCTCTCTCTCTCTTCTCTCTCTCTCTCTTTCGCTCTCTCGCTCTCTCTTGCTCTCTCTCGCTCTCTGTCGCTCTCTCTCGCTCTCTCTCTCTCTCTCTCGCTCTCACTCGCTCTCTCTCGCTCTCTCTCGCTCTCCCTCGCTCTCTCCCGCTCTCTCTCTCTCTCTCTGCTCTCTCTCTCTCTCTCGCTCTCTCCCGCTCTCTCTCTCTCTCTCTCTCTCTCTCTCTCTCTCTCTCTCTCTCTCTCTCTCTCTCTCTCTCTCTCTCTCTCTCCCCCCCCCCCCCCCCTCTCTCCACTATCTCTCTCTCTCTCTCTCTCTCTCTCTCTCTCTCTCTCTCTTCTATCTCTATCTCTCTCTCTCTCTCTCTCTCTCTCTCTCTCTCTCTCTCTCTCTCTCTCTCTTCTCTCTTCTCTCTTTCTCTCGCCTGTCTCCTCTCTCAACTCTCCCCTCTCTCTCTCTCTCTCTCTCTCTCTCTCTCTCTCCCTCTCTCTCTCTCTCTCTCTCTCTCTCTCTCTAGTCTCGGCTCGAGAGTGCCCTGCACTCAGACCGCAGCCGCGACGCGAAGCGCCCCGCCTCGGAGTCAGACTCCCAGGCCTCGCGAGACCGGAGGGGTCCCAGCAGGACCCTACTGATTCGCGTCACCTCTCCGCACCAGAGTGCCCGCAGCAATGGCCCCCAAGAAGCCGGAGCGCCGTCACTCTTCAAAGCAGCCTCCGAGCTCCCGCCCCACGCGCCCTGCTGCTGAAGGGTCCCTCCTTCAACGCAAGCAGGACTGCATCGCAGCATTCAGGCAAGCGGGGTCTGACCGCCCCACGGCCGCCTATAACGGGCTAGCCGAACTGAACGCGGACGAGCTCCAGGCAAAGTACGACATGCACAAGTCCAACACGAAGAAGCTTGGCAGCGCCCTTATCCGCATGTGCGCCGCCAACCAGATCAGCTACACGCTCGACCACTACCAGCGCAGCAAGCCTAAGCGCACTGGCGGTGACACATCGCACCCACCATCGGGTTCCGCACGTCTTCAGGCTGCGGACACCCAATTCATTGCCTTGGACCCTGCCTTTTGGAAGGTCCCTGTTCTTGCCGAACCCACCTCGCCTGACGACGGCAAGACGTACAAGCCCAGCATCAGCCTCCACGACTTCGAGAGTGGCGAACGGCTGCTGCAACACCACCTCGGGCAGGGCAAGCGAGCCACGGGCCAGCTCGCGATTGCTGTCATGGGCCCGAAAAACGACAACTACGTCGGTACCGAGCTCGCCGTCCCCGTCCTGAAGCGCCACCCCAAGGCGCCCAAAGTGGTCCACACGCACGTCCCCGTGATCGTGTACCAGCTGGGCACCAAGGAGGTCGCCTGCACGGAAAAGGTAGCCGTCGCCACCATCGACCCCGCCGACCACGTCTGCTGGATTCGGGCGACCATACACGAGACCGAGGCCATTGCCGCAGTCCCCTCCATGCACCAGGCCTTCGAGGACCAGTTCTCGGGAGGTGCCCCCGTGAACGGTGGTCCACGCGCCAAGGGCCCCTTTCGAGGGACTCCGCTCCACAGGACAAGGCGCGCCAAAAGCACAAGGAGTCCAAGAAAGACGCTCGCCGCCAGGAGCTCGATGGCCAGCTCCACGACACCTTCAAGGCCCTCTTCCACGGCAGCTTTAAAGCCGTTACCATCCTCGAACCCTGCAAAAGCCTAGGCAGGTTTGGATCGGGCGTCGGAAAGAGGTCCCTGGCTGCCACCTTCGGCGTCAGTCTCCAAGCGGTCGACAAGGTCCTGGCGGGATCAGGGCAACTCGGTGCCACCTACGACCTCAGCAACGTAGGTGCAGACGAGCCCACCGCCGACAAGTATCAGACCGTGTGGTTCCCTGAGGACCAGCCCATCACGATGGCAGACGCGTTCCAGAAGTCGGTGGAGCTCAAGGCCCTGGGAGTCGTCAGGCACGGCAAGTCAGGCCTGCTGGGGATCCGTGTTCCGCGGGGGTCTGACGTCGCCAAGGCCGCCGCTGTCAGCATCCGCGGCTGCGAGGCCACCCTCGCCAAGACGCGCTACCGCATCACTGGCATTGCGTCACGCCACGCCACGCTGACCCAGCTCGCCAAGACTCTCACGGGCCCGTCCGTCAAATGGGACTGCGAGGTCTACCACACCGCCTGGGACCCAGCCACTGCGGCCCAGTTTGCCCTAGTGCGCGCCCATCGGCCCCCACTCACCTATACGGTGCAGGTCGCGGGGTGCTCCATCCCGTGGAGCATCGCCGAGGCCCCGCTGGCTGAGGTGGCGCCGAAGCGGGACAACGTTACCATCGTCACGCCTACCACCATCACAGAGCCTGCGACGCCGCCAGCCGGTGGTGGCGGCTTCAGCCCCGCCACCGGCACACTCCTCACCAAAGCGGCCCAGAGCCCCTACCTCCACGACCTCATGACTGCCACGCCCAAAGGCAAGGGCGTCGCACCGCTCCTGGCCCCCAAGGAGGAGCCTTTAGCCAAGCGCCACCGATCCTCCAGCGGGACACGAGACGCCACGCCGCCTGCAAGGCCACCCCGCGCCCCAGGCCGCAGCTCCTCTGCGCCCCCTCACGGCACGGACGGAGCCGCTGAACCGACGGCCGCCCCAGGACCAGGTGGCCACGACCCCTGGCTTGGCACGGCCGCGGCGGAAGGAGGGGGCCACACCGAAGGCGCCGCTGCCACAGCCGCCGAAGTACCAGGTGACGTCGTTGACGTCGAGATCCTCTCATCAGGCGACGAATACAGCGAGGCCTCCCACGAACTCAACACCTTCGGCGAGCGCTTCGCATCGGCCTCTAAACCGCCCGATGCTGCCACGACCCGCATCCAGCACATGGAACAGCAGCACGAGCTACTAGCCACCACGGTGGATAACATGCAGATGCAGCTTGCGGGCGTTCTCTCCTCCCAGGCCACACTCACGGAGCACGTTTCAGGGCTGGAACGGGGGCTTGCCACCGTCGTCACCCAGCAACAAACGGCAACCGCCGACGCCGCTGCACTGCGCGGCGATATCCAGACCCTCCTCGGGCACCTCACGGGAGGCACCATCCACCTGCCACAAGCGGCCACTCTGGAAGTTAAGAAGGAGGAAGCCGCAGCGGCCGCCGAGCCCGCGGCAGCCTGCAGTGCGACCGACCAGCCAGGCCAGGCCACCCCAGGGACGGGGCCCCCAGGGGCCGACAAAGGCAAGGACAAGGGTCGGGCCACCCAGGACCCGTATTGAAGGTGCCTCAGAGAGCCCGCCTCAGCCCTCCGAGGAAGCGCCTTCAGAGGCACCGCTCCCCTCTTCGCGTCGTATCTCTTTCTTGTTACCTCATGTCTGTTTTGGCAGCAGCACGCGCAAGCTCTCTGGTGTAGGGACACCCGTAGTCTTGCAGGGGGCGTGATTGTAGCGATGTACATGAGCATTCAGGGGTGTATGAGGACGTGTGCTGCCACGCAGCTTTCGGCTCATCGCTCGCGCCGCCCGCCAGGCCTCGCCATCATGCGGCGCCTCGCCTGCGGCCTGGCCCTCCCCTCGCTGGCTGGAGCACACCCGTCTTCAGGCGGTGCGCCCCAGCACGGAGGAGAGGCTTTCCTGCGACATGCGGAGCGTAGGACGTACTTCTACCTTTACGATGACAGCATCTACAAATACGATCACAGCGCCATTTTGGACCCGATCGTGAACAGCACCGCCGCCGCTGGTCCGTGCGGCACCGGGCTGCTGGGCGCCCCCGCGAGCGCCTGGCCTGAGCAGCACCAGGGGCCCTGCCCCACGCGCTGCCCCCCTGGGACTTCGACGGCTACTACTATGCCTACGCCGAGTACCAGCACGTCTCCTACGAGCACGCCCTCGTCAACTACGACACATGCATCGCAGTCGACCGCCGATTTTGCCGCAGCTGAGCTGACTCCTGCGTCCTCCGGCCACGCCTCGCACCGCATGCAAGTTCAGCTACGAGGGCTACCATCACTCAATACGACGCCTGCGGTCGACCGTCGTACAGCATATCCTCGATGGCACCCTGTCTTCAGCTCGTCCTCGACCGTCGTGCAGCACATCCTCGACAGGACCGCTGGCAAGGCCCAGGCACGCAGTGGCGGCTTCAGCCCCGCTGCAGTGCCCTGGCTGCCACCGCCACCGCATGACGTACACGGCCTGACTACCAGCAACACAGAGAGTCCCGCTTCCCCTCTGTGCGCCAGGGGTGAACCTGATGAGGATCCCGCCTTCTGGCACCTGATGAACATCCGAGCACGGCTCATCCCGTGCGCCGCGGCGTGGGCACCAGGTGAGGACCATCAGGGCGTTTACTGGGCATGGCTCGAGGACTGCGTCCCGCACGTCCTGGCGACGCTCCATCTGCCTCAGTACGACCACCTTTTCCAGGAGGACTCCGCGGAGAAAAAC